GTTATTTATTTTAGTGTCTGGATCATTGAAAGCCGCAGCTGTTGTCAGACTAACCTCCGGAAGAAAAAGAGGAGTCCTGCTGGCAGCACTGCACTAATGAGCCTAGTCAGCTGGCTAATGTATCTTCCATGTGGCATCGGAACAGGAATTTAAATATTCCAGACTATGACTGTGTGGAATTCTGGATGAAAGAGGGGCAACATTGCCGGGATGCTTCCCAAGTTGCTCTGCTCTGACTTGTTTGGGCATCTGTTGTGCTCTGAATATGTAAAAAAGACATGCAGATAAACATCAGTGCAGATAGAGAAAGGCTAAAAGTGGTGTATCAGAAGAGCAAAGGCAAAATCTGCTCTGTCCAAGACCACCACTGAGGGAATCCATAGCAGGAGGTCCAAATACCCACAAGGCAACTTCTCGCCGTCTAGAAATAAACACTATTAAATGTAAATAGACAGAAAAGCAAACTGTTGACACAAGTATTTCAATTAACAACCAAAGAGCAAACATGCTAAAGCTAACCGTTTTAACCACAGTCACAGCTTGTTTGAATATTGAAAAGTCAACCGTGGGTGTAATGCAAGGATATTTACGAGTCATTAAGCAGACTATATATAGTCTAAATGTCCTGTACGTGTTTTAGGGTTAGTTCTTGTGAAGGGGTTGCCTTAGAAAAATAAGGGACGCTCTCTTTTCTATAAATCACATATGCATTTGAGATTGATGCCTGCAGCTAAAAAAAACAATCACTCCTTGACTGAATTGCTGAAATGCATTTGAGATGCAATCACTTTGATTTCAGCTTAATGACATACTACTTCACTGCATCAGTTTTAAAAATAATAATAATAATAATATTAATATCATACTGAATTTAGCTTTAGCATTCTTAATTTAGCTTCATATTTTCTTCCATGTACAGTAGATAGTTTTATATTATGGAAATAAATAAAATGTTTTAAGCTTTATGTGTAAAGCTTCTTTTTATAATGAAAAAATTAGTCCTTGGGATGCTAATGGGATGATTCTGTATACACTCTTAAAAATAAAGATTACAAGAGAGGGTTTTCATATCGATGCAACAGAATAATCATTTTGGGTTCCCTAAAGAATCTTTTTGTTAAAGTACCATTTTTTGTGAAGAAGTGTGAAGAATATTTTAATAATTTAAAGAACCTTTTCTATTCTAAAGAAACTTTTGTACAATGGAAATGTTCCATTAATCTCAAAAGTTCTTCATGCAACCATATGCCAATAAAGAATCTTTATTTTTACAAGTGTAAGGAATGCTTGGCAACCCTATCGGTGTGCGTTTGCGTTAAAAGTGCTTCAGACACGGGTCACGACGAGGCATTCCCCATAGCGACCCCTAGAGGACGCAGTGTCTCGTTCCCTACTCAGGGAACCATGGTTACATAAGTAACCTGAGACGTTTTTGTGTCAGTGTGCATTTGCAGTCACCCAGCTGCCCGATAGCATGCAGGGATGCGAATGTGTGATGATTAGAGAGTGGATCTTATCTTATGCACAGGGGCACAATTCTGCTTTTGTTCCATGCCAGAACCCCTTCTCGCCCACCTGGGCTGGGCTGGACCTCCTGAAGCTTGGACGACCGCCACGTGTTAGACTTCACTGGTTTGGAACCGCTGCGGCATCTCTGGTTTAAACTGAGGAAGCGAGGGGGGAAAAATACTCTTTCATATCTCAAAGCACCAAGACAGAATTACGTACCAAGCCAGCACACACACTAAAGCCACATCTCCACATGATCAAACAGATGACTGATTGCACAGGCCTCAGGGGAACGAGAGAAAGGGGGGATAAAGAATGAAATGGGTGGTGGTTTTCCAAAGAAGCTTTGCACCTCTATGACATCAAATCTGTGTGTAAGAGTGTGTGACAAAGAAGGCAGCGAGACAGAAAGGTTTTGATTAGAGAGCTGTTTGTGGTTTTGGGTGCACGGGTGTGTTAGATTGGAAGCTGCTGCCATTATATGGAAAGCAATGTGAAGGGAAAAGTCAGAAAGAGAACGGAAAAAGGAACAAGTCAGAGAATATGTCCATAAATGTGTGTAGAAACTAAACAGGTCCTGTGGGGGGCGGTGTAACCATATCTTGGGAATATGATGTAAAACTTATCATCTTCTTTCATGTGAGCTAAATAGCAGTTTCTTCCTAATACAATAAATGATTAAAGGTGAAGTATGTAATTTGGCGCCACTATTGTTACCAAACTAAATTGCAGAAATAATGATTGTTTTTAAACAGGTTTCCCAAACACTCTGTCTCCCATTGGTTGGGCAAACAGATTCATGCTAATGGTTGAGTTGCATTTTTAGGCGTGCCTTGGTATTCAAACCAAAAGAGCAATGTTTTAATAGTGCCAAAGACACTTGTTGGGAGTTTTAATTTGGTTTTGCATATTAAGTTGGGATAGAAGAACATATTTTATCATCTTTAACTATTTGTTATTTATAAGTGCTGAAAATAACAATAAACTGTATTAAATAACTATATGAATAAACTGAAATAACTCAATTCCACAATGGAAATGTGAAACACTGAGTTTGTGCAGCTTGTCTGGCAATTAGACACTGGATTTTATCATCACAGCAAACCACAAGTGGTGAAACTTAGCAACATGGTCTGGCGCTCCTCAGGGTTATGTCCGCAGTCTAACTCTGTTCTCACTCGTCACTTCTTTACTGCAACAAACACTACTAAATGAATGACTGATCGACACAGCAGTCACAAACAGTTATGAGTCTGTGGCCAAATATGACATCACAGAAGGCTTAACAAGAATTCAGATTCAGAGTTAATGAGTTCACATGCCAGTTCTTATTGCAAAAAGATTTTGGGTTTAGTGAGTTACAGATTTAATTTACCTTACCTAGCCCATAAAAACACTAATCAGTCCAATTTCTATGCATCTCTGAATCCAAACATATAAGTTAATTATTCAACTTGAACTCGTAACACAGAATCCAAACCAGAATCCAAAATAGTGAGTCATAAACTCTTCAAAAGTGTTGGGTAAGTTACTCAAAAAAAGTAATCCACTGCAAATGACTAATTACTACTTTAAAATTGCAATTTAATTACATTACTGCATTTAAAAAGTAATCAGATTACTAATTACTTTCAAGTTTACTTTTCAAGTTATCAAACCTAAAAAAATACACTACAAAGTGAAACTCATAGTTCTTTCAGTAATTTAATATTGTCTGAAAAATTACATAAGTATCAAAAAAAGCAACTTGCATTTTTTTCCTGTTAACAGTGAAAAGAACTTAAAATGTTCCGTCATTTTTTATCGTACAGTTAAGAATAATGCATCATTTGAAACTGTAAATGGTTTACTTTTATTTGTGCACACTCACAATATCAAAAAAATATTGTGCTTTTGTAAAATAAAGAAAACAAACAGGGTGTGCTTTCAGCCGTCTCAGTCTTCGCAAACTTCTTTCTGAAACGCGCCACAAAAATGAACCAAAACTCAGCGAATGAATAAAGTCTTTTCAAAAACAAATATTCTCTGATAAAGTAATCCATATGAAACCAACGCGAGGTCTAGTTTTACCCGTCTGAGCTCATTATCTGTAATGTGATCACGCCCACGCGCAGCGTGTGCTATTCATACTCCTATCATCCACGTGAGATGCGTGAACATGTAAACGCCCACATCACCTCCGTAAACAAAGCCTGAAGATTCATCAAGTTTAGCAAGGATACTTTTAGTTTCTAGAAGAAGACGTGCTGAGAGGAATAAGCTTTGTGTTTACCTCAGAAGAAGAACGCGATGCAATGCGCGGCTTGATCCGGCGGAGGAGATCATTCTGATGAGCAAGTCATTTATTCTTACTTATTTTAGTGTTATCGTGACATAAACTTGTATGCATTTTACTAGTTGGACTTTTCCCAAAATATAAGGCCAGACTAAAATATGTGAAATCGAGTGCAACATTTTTTAAATATGATAGGCAACCTTTCATTGCATCTAAATGCTGTACAACTCATCTGCATTTTTGCTTGCATTCTCCGGTGATTCATTAAAGGGCATACTGACGCACAAAACATGATTTTAAAATGCATTTAGCCTACTTCATATTTTTTTCTTAACACTGCATTTGTAACTTAAGTAACTAATTTTATTGACATTAGTAACTGTAATCAAATTACATACATTTAAAATGTAATGCATTACATTACTGCATTATCAGGAAATGTAATTAGAATACAGTAGCGCGTTACTGTATAATGCGTAATACCGAACTCTGCTCTTCAATGCATTGGCTGCAGCATCGAAGCACAAAGTACCAGTTTCAAGGCGTTCTCACCAGCACATTAAACACCATTAATGTCTGACTAAGCTTGTACTCATATTTTACCTTACACGCATGAAATCCATTTAATATATCATTAGAGTAGATATTTTATATTATTTATAGCTGGTATTTTTAATGCTATCTAGGGTCATATGTCATATATTTACAAATTTATTTTGTTGGACTGTACATCCACTGTGTTATCTCTATTGTATTGCATTTCAAAATCATAGCAGCTGGCAGTGTCAAGTTATAATTTCAATATACATAAACTTTTTTTCTCAGATGGCACCGTGCCATGGCTTTTTAACACCAACTATGCCCATATTATATGTGCATATGAGGTAAAAGGGAGAAAAGATTTAAAGCATTACAAAGTTTTGTAGGAAACCTTCTGCTTACCTTGCATCTGTCAAACTGTGTTTATATATAGGTGTGTGTGTGTTTGATTAACACATTTATGTTTAATCTAATGTTGCGGGCAGGTTTCTCAACTTGCTGGCTTTGATTGTGCCCTTTTGCACCTTACCCTGAGTGCTCCCCAGAGGGTTAATGCTGGGAGGTTACAAGTTCCCTCCTCTTTTCTCTCCCTCCCTCCCTCTCACACTCCCGCTCCACTCTCTTGCTCCTCTCAGCTGAGCAACCCAAAGACAGACTCTTACAAGCACCACACAGGTTTAACATCACCAGAGAGAGCACAGAATCAACAAGGGACGGACTTTCAAGCACCTTCAAGAAAGGAGATCTTGCACACTCAATGAGTCCTACCATGAATGGAAAACTTCACGTTTGAAGATGAAACTTGGATTAAGTGGATTAAATTTATCTGCATAACTGATAATATCTCATCTGACACGCTCTCATTGACGCAAACATCCAGGAGAGGAGCATTTTCAAAGCTTTTTCTTTTTAACCCTACATATATTTTAAAGTGATTTGGAGACTGTAAGTACCTGATCATGGCTGAGGAGAGACTTATTCACAGGTTGAAGACAACTTGGATGGTATTTCTCATGCAAGGTTCGTTAACTTATTGTCTTTTACCCTCTTTCGCTCTGACGTTCTAAATTAAGCAAATGGTTTTACCCATTTCAAGACACCATTTAAAATACTGGTAAATATTTTATTAAAAAAAAAATCATGAAACTGCATGATTATACACCTGATACTTTTGAATCATAAAATGTTTTTTATATTGTGATGCCAGTAAAAAAGCTTTTGAAGTCATACAAAGAGCTTTTTATTCTCTAGTTCTTTAGAAAACAAACTGGTCCTGGTTATTTTGAATGTCTCTCTTATCTGACACATGTCTTGGAGCCTTTACTAATGAGTTAATGATATAAATCAGGTTTGTTAAATAAGCGAGACATCCTAAATGTGCAGTGCTTCAGAACGGGGACTGAGAACCACTGTTGTAAAGAAACCAAATATGCTTAATCTGAAAAAGCTACAATGCAACTGCATTAACTTGATTAATCCAAAAGCACCATAGCAACTCAACAAATACAGCCAAAAATCTAAGAAAAGTGTTCTTTGCTGAACCTGAAGATCCTTTATTTTTTTATCATATTAGTACAGCCTAGATCTGGATTTGTCACAGATCCAAACAGGCAAAACAATCATAAATCAGAAACATATGATTACGCTTTATGGCTCATCTAAATGAATGAATCTTATGTGTTATGGTATTAGTGTAAATGTAAATAATCAAAAATATGAAATATGAGAATCTTAAGTATAAGCTTAAAGTATGGCTTATTGTTAATGTGTGAAAGTATAAGAGTAGCCAAGCAAAACTCCTACATTATCGAGACCAACCAGTCTGAGCATTTTCTATTGTATCAAAGTATTTTACTGCGCTTATTTTTCCGTCTGGATTTCACAAGAGTAATTAGGATCTAAAGGATGACAAACAGCTCTCAAGGAAAGGTTCAGCTAAAGTTTTGGAGCTTTAATTAACCTTAATAAAACATGACAAAACTAAACTTGTCCTTAAATTGTTAAAAGAAACTTTAACATCTTTTCTGAATACTTAAGATGTAGTTCATTCCTTGCTGTTGATTTCAATGCTGATGTTGGTGGGACATTTGTGCATGCGTAAAACATACGGTGGGGTACAAAAGTCTTGAAAATGCTCCTGGTTTGCATGCAAAAGATCTAATCAAACTATGAATTTAGAATGAAAATGTTGAAATTCACAATTTTGAAGCCCATACTCTTAAAAAAATAAAGTTCTTTACAGCACCTTCTTATCAACTACTCTATATTCGCTGTGTATGGTCTACAAAGTTCTTTGGAGATGAAAAATGTTTTGATGTTACATTTATAGGTTCTTCAGATCAGCATATCAGTTTCTGGTTTCTTTAAAGCACAACACAGATGGTTTTCTAAAGAAATACAGAATAAAAGTCAGCTCAAGGAACTTTAAAGGGGTCCTATTATGCTTTTTCACTTTTTCAACTTTAGTTAGTCTGTAATGTTGCTGTTTGAGTATAAAAAAGATCTGCAAAGTTACAAAGCTCAAAGTCCAATTCAAAAAGAGATATTTTATTTAACAGAAATCACTTTTCAAAAACTACAACGAACGACTCGTTTGGACTACAACGCATATTTCCCGGGATTTGTGATATCACAAATATACCACGAATGGGACGAGACCTGGTTGAGCTGCACTAGAGAAGGCAACGAGCCAATCACAGCACACACTGGCCCAGCTAACCAATCACAGCACACACTGGCCCAGCTAACCAATCACAGCACATTTCGTATTTAATTCGTAATGCCTTTATTTTATACAGGAACTATTCGTGCCGTTCATGCCAGACTGGGGAGAGAGGTGTTGTAATAATGTAAAATATGTGAAAAATAATGTTTTTCGAACAACCTAATATGAGAGCCTGTTCTAGTACACGCCCAAAACAAAATCAAGACTTTGTAAAATAGCATAATAGGACCCCTTTAAAAGGTTCTCAGATGGCATAAGGTTATAACTTTAATTTTTAAGAGTGCACAAGTAACAGAAATTTGGCTTGTTCTTGAAAATCAATCAAGTCAGTCAGGATAAGTTTAAAGAGCTTTAAATATAAATGGCAAAGAGTTTGGCTCGACACTGTGGTCTTACTCTCACCTTTCCCCATGCACTGCTCTTTTCACCTGTCAGTCTCCTCCACTGGCCCCGGACCCCTGTTTTTGTTCCAGGCTCTTTTAAAGTTAGCAGGGGTGTAGAGGAGGCCATTGTTTCCCGTGAAAGCAGATCACAGCCACGGAACTAATGCCACCATTAAAATAATGATTAGAGTAACAGGCCAGCGCCATTAACGACCCCTTCTGTTCGTATGCCATTTAGTGGCTGTTTTTCTTCTACGCTCTCGTTCCTTTCAGCCAGGGATGGTTAGGGTGATGAAGAAAGCAATAGGCTTCTGTTCTCACTATCAGGCCGCCTACAGAATGACAGAGAGAAGGAAAGACTGGCGCAATTACACCCGCCCCCCAAGGACTCATGGCAGTTACCCATGACCTCAGAGGTCAGTATGTGTGCATTTATGTGCCTGTACTTTATCTTTTCTTACAAAACATGGGCTTCTTTCATAAAACAGCAGAAGTAGATCTGCGAAAATGATTTATATCATGCCCATGTGCTTGAGTAATCTGCCAAAACAGATACTAAATGCAACACTTTATTGTAGTTGGCGGTTACACTTTGTCTACTTTGATTTAAAGTGGAAAATTATTTAACACAAGGTGATTTTACAAGAAGTTATGCCTCAACATTGATTAAAAAAAGCATGAAGGCTTTCCAGTATTAGGAATCGCCACCAAAATGTGTTCCAGCTGTTCAGCATTGTCTTTTCCTCTCCATTCCACCATTTTTAGAAATATGTCTGCTTTGAGATTCATGAGTAATATTCATAAGCAGACGACATGAGAGAAAGCCTGTCAGCCATTTATAGATAAAAGGAGGCCCAGTGCTTGTCAGAGAGACTTTGACTGATGCACAACACTTCAAAATCATCAATCAGCTAGGAGCAACAGATCACACCAGTTACTAACTGTCCCGTTAACTGATTTGGTTTGTGGTCAGCAGCGGGCTGGATTACTGCATCTATGGTTGACTAATGTTGGTGATGTATTGAAAAAAATATATATATATGTATATTCAGTTTTCACATTTTGACATAAAATAAGCCCATATACATGATATGTATAATATACAATTCTATTTAAGAGTTTGAGGTCAGTAAGATTTTTTAAATACGTTTATATAGCAGGGATGCATTACATTTATCAAAAGCTACAGGTAAGACATTTATAAAGTTACAAATAACTTCTATTTCAAATAAATGAATTGTCAAAAAAATCCCGACAAAATTTGATCACTGTTTCCACAGAAATATTAAGCAACAGAACTGTGTTCAACATTGATAATAATACAAAAGTTTATTGAGCAGTTAATCAGCATATTAGAATGATTTCTGAAGGATCATGTGACGCTGAAGACTGGAGTAATGATGCTGAAAATTCAGCTTTGCATCACAGAAATAAATTACATTTTAAAATATATTAAAATAGAAAACTGTTGTTTTAAACTGTAATAATATTTCATAATATCACTGTTTGTACTGTATTTTTGATCAAATAACTGAAGCCTTTGCGAGCATTAGAGACGTCTTCAAAAAACATTTTTTATAAAAAAAAAATCATACCATCATACATGTCAAAGTGATATAAGATGATATTATTGAATATCACTGAAATATTGCATTTTTTATTAGGATGCAAATTGGCATGACACCCACTGAAGTTAAAGTTAGTGTAACATAATCCCACTTATTTTAAGATATAGCGAAAGTTGTGTTAGGCAGATCAAGGTCAGAATTTGAGGGATGTGTATAAGTATTACTGTATTGTGCTTGTTGTTTTGTTCTTATGTTTATCTGTGATTATGATTACCTGCCAAGGGACCGCGGATGAAAACTAGCCATTGGCTAAATTCAGTACAATGCATGAAATGGAAACATTTATGTTAAAATTGTACATGGTCCCTTTTCAAACAAAATTTTAATAATAATAATAATAATTTAATAAGGTTAACTGCATTTGTTCCATAATTTGCTTTAACACTCAATTGATAACCAAATACTAGTTGTTTTTGGTTAGGTTAGCGAGATATTGCGTTAACTAGATGCAAATACCTAACAGAACTCAAAAGAATTACGGTTAAGTTACTCAGGAGTTCTGCTGGTTAGTCACTATCAGTGATGTTGAGTTAACCCTAGGGGTAACCGTTAGTTTGCGGGAGAAACTTTCTCATAATCCCTTATTTAAATGAAAACAACTGCTGGATTAAGCAGGTTTAAAGTTCATGAAAAAACAACAATGCTGCAGAATTATAAGGAAACTGAGTGGAGTGAGAAGGATTCTGGGGAAAAAAGCAGACATACACCCACCTTTTTTTACTTGGAGATAAAACTGCTCTGTACACAAATCATATTCACATTCACTTACACGCATCGACAGACAAACATATTCTCCTACTCTTTTCATAAACATATGCACATGAACATAAGCGTTCACACACCTTTGTTGCCCCTAGCGCTCATATGCATGCACACACATGCAGTCTCGACGCTCTATATGAAACTTGACCTTTCTGTAACTGTACTTCATCAGACAAAAAGAGTGTGACAGAGGGAGAGGGAGCGAGGAATCTGAGCTCTATCCAAAGTAAATGAGGTGTAAATGGGCGTTTTTTCATCAGGGAGCCGTTATCAAAGCAGGGGCCGGTGGGAGAGAGAGGCGGACGGTTGGCACAAAGGCAGGTAAACTCTGAAATGGGGCCATTTCATGCATTTGGCTGTACTGTAGTATAGTGATGATGGTATTAGATGGTGATAGTATTGTGCTTAAGATATATGCAGTGGTTCTGAATCATTACTATATTCATATACGATGATATATACTGTATAGTATGATTCAAAACTCTCAGAACACTCAGAAAATCTTTTTTTTTTTTTTACTTA